CCCCGCCCCCCTCCCGCCCCCCACCCCCCCCCCCGCCGGCCCCCCCCCCGACGCCCGCCGCCGGGGCGCATAGCAACGCGATAGCAACGGGAAAGCCTTTCGGCTCTTCCCATTGTTAGATGCTTGATTAAACCTGCAACTTCATTAGTATTCTACATAGAAACAAACTATCTGTTCCATATTGGTTAAATAAAACCATTGTCTGCTGCAATAGATCCTCTATATTTAAATTATTAGTACAGCAGATACGACTAATCTTCTTCGCATTATCTTTACATAAACTGAACGTGTATCTAACATTAATTTAAGAACAAAAGTGAGTACAAGAGTCTCTATTTGATAATCCAGTTTTTGATTGTTTGAACCTTTATTTTTCTTTATGTATAAGCGTAAGGATTAATTATAGCAAGCAATATGGTTTTGATTTCATGTCAAAACTAAGAGTTTTTGTGTATTACGTAAAGAGACCTCTCAGCCCTTTTTTTTTATTTATTATTCACGTTGCTTCACCTTTATATGTGCATGAAAACGCTATAGTCAGTCTCTCCTTCGTTAAGAATGAGTATTTTATCATGTTTTATAATAGAGAACAGAATCAAACGTTTTTTAATATTGCTTTTTCGTTGCTTGGAGCTATTGGACTAGTTATTTCTGCAGAATATTTGGTTGGCGTCATAGATAATTACTTGAATGAAAATTTATCTAATGTAAACTCAATGATTAGAATATATTTCGGGCCATAGTATAGTAATTCAGCTAAAATAAGGGCAGAAAAAAAAACACAGGACCGATACTCGTCTCCTTTTGTTGAGTACCCAGCAAAGAGAAAGAAAAGCAAAACGAGAATGTAGTGGAACATGCTTGTGCGTCTAAATTTCTCATACATAGAAGAACTGAATAATACTCTCTCTCTCTCTTTTCAACAGTCAGTAACGTTGAATAGTGATTGTTTGTGTTCTGTTTGCTAAACGAAGTAATTTCACTATATAGGCGGTGTTTGAAGTAAATGCATACACTCAAAAGAGATGAGAATCAAATAGTGTAAGAATGAAATGTTGCTGGTTTCAACGTACAGAAATAGACGTCAATTATATCAAAGACAAAAATCGATTTTGTAACTAGGATATCACAATGACTTTAAGTCGAGTTTGCTAAGAAAAATCCTGTCAAAGACTTTTAGTATCAAGCCAAATAGTAGAAAATATCAAAAACTCTAATTTTAAAGGTATACGATCACCTTTTGAAATTGAATGATTGAATGGTTAAATAATATCTGTTTTCAAAACATTTTATCTAAGGATTAAAAACAATTAAAAAAATGTAATCCCATCCATATTGCGAACTATTCGATTTATTACTAAAAGTCTTTAATAATGATTTTCCATTTAATTTTCTGTCAAATTCAGTTCTGATCTTGCATACATTGTGCTTTATACCTGCCAAAAAGTGATATAGAAACTGCAGGATTAAGTTTAAACAGAGCTACCGTTTTGATCAAAGTAGTTGAAAACTGGTTTCCAAATATAATACTTAACGGTATATCCTTTTAGAAAGTGTACCAAGTGAGTCTAATAGTGTGTGAACATCAAAAAGAGATGAGTGAGATACTGATTAAATGACTTGGTGTGAAATCAAATCTGAAGGAGGAAAAAAGGCCTTCAGGCCTCTAATTTCGATTTTGTTTAGTGTAATTCAGTGGAATCTGTATTCACTTTTAATGTATGAGGAGCTTAATGAAGTTAGCATGAGCCTAAAAGACCTAAAGATTTTTCTCGGAACAAAATTTATCAGGATCTGCATCGATGATTTGACTATAATGATCAGTGAGAGCACCAGCAAATAAAGACTCTTCTTTGTTGTGCCAAAATATGAGATGGCCCTAAGTGGTCTCTAATAATAGAAGCGCTTGAGAAGATATAAATCCGCTCATTATCGTTTTGATCAACAAAATTTACCTATGATCGTATCGAATTTTAAGACATCGAATCATTTGTTATAAGAAAGTTAGATTAGTAATTCAATAAAATTTTAATCAGTGACGAAGATTCAGTAAAGATTGAGTATTATTTCTTACAGTAATCTAAAACATAAAATCTTAACAAGCTGTACTATACTTCGAATGAAATTAAACTGTTTTATTGAGCAATGGCGACACCTACGATGCGAGATTCAGTTCAGAATTCATTCAGAATCCCTTAATATCTAGAATCGAAAGTTTTCTTCATGAATTCTAATATTCAGATTCATTTTTCAAACGTAGACGCTGTTTGTTTAGAACACTTCATTTTGTCAGCGATATTTTCGAATGATTTCTCGATTACCTAAATTTTCCGTATGTTTTCTTTATCTACGATTAAAAGATCTACACTACCGAAATTGTTTATGTAGACATTAGTAGATAAAAACATTAATAAAAAAATGAATTTTTGAAAATATTCTAAAAATCTACTTTACTACAAGTTTCAATCTAATAAAAAAAATGACGAAGAACTTGTTAGGTTTTGATTGCGAATAATCGTTCATATCAACAGTTATTTTTATTTATTCAAATGGCACGATACATCGACTGTTTGAATTTGACGATAATGCGCAAAGCAACAAGTAATTCTTATACATACATTGTCATATTTAATTGTATTATGAATCGCTATCGCTTTCGTTAGATTACTATCATATATTTTAGCTCGAAATTGCTCAAATATGCTTTCGAAAATAATAAGAAGTTTTATCACGGTAGCAGTGATTGTTCTCAATAAAAAACGTTCAGTATAATACATAGATCATCAACAAACAAAACAAAAAATAATCTGGCACACGTAGGATGGTTATCCATGTATGTTAAAAATTTTGTTTGTTTATTTGTTCATAAATCAGTATTTTCATGCCGATTATTAATTCTTAAATAGAATATAAACATTGAGTATTAAATAATCATAATAATGTATTTATAAATAAATAGTTAAAATCAAAAATTGAAAGTTAGACTAATAAAAGATTTTGAATAATAACAAAAGAAATCTTGAGAATTTTTTTTTTTTTTTTTTTCGTTTATTGATCGTGCATACCCATAGATACATAATGTTATCATTGATGATGGTATAGTAGATTTAAAATAATGATGATAATCTTATTTTAATTTTTGTTATGGTTTCTTTTCTTGTTTTTCAGAAATATATAAAATGTAAGCTTTGAAAAAAAAGATAATCTTTTAATTCTAAGTATGCGACTAGTGCTAAGAATCGTCGCCTGTATACAATGGTTGTTTTTTATGGTGATATTCAACTTATGCTCGATTTAATCATACAAAAAAAAAAAAAAATTATATAATTTAACTCCTTTCCTTTGTTTGATTCGGGGTTATAATATATCTATATGCTTTTGTTGTTGTGTGATCATATTTACGAAAAAATGAAAAATATTCATATTATTTTTCTTATTAATATCTTAGGTCTAATCCTGCTTTGTCAAAAAATGTTCGAGATTCAACAGACAGTGATCATGAGGAAAAAGAAGGTAAAATATAAAAATAATTTAAGCTTTGATGTTCCCTCTAATTTTTATCCGTTTTATGTTAAGATGGCGAACTTGAAGAGGGTGAAGTTGAAGAAGATGAGACGGATCAATCTTATATTAAAACAGAAGAAATAAAGCATGAAGAAAATCGTGATGGTACGTATTGATAGTGATATTTACTAGCCTTCTTGAGTCTTTCAATGAAATTGAATGAATACTTTTAAATATCGTTCTTATTTGACCTTTTTTTGATGATCAGTTCTGCGAAAGACTTGTTAAGTTTATACTTCATATTAATTTTGAATTATAATTACTATTTTGACTAACATTTCTACAAGAATTCTTTGACCTATTTCTAGTAAGAACCGTGTCTTTTCATACGTATGTGAACGAATAGTTTCTTCGACAATGCACTATCTGTTGTAAAAGTCGCAGGTGGTTAAAAGCTTTGATTATCTCGATAATCATCGATAGCAAGATATTTTATTTAACAAAGGATTTGACAAAATAAACTATGTGAAAATTTAATAGCTTCCCTGCGTCCAAAACTATCGAACATTTAACAAAAATCTGTTTAAAACATTCAAAAACTGGGGAAAAACCAGTCTTTCTGTCTCACGAAATACTACCTAAATAAGTATTTTCTACCCATGGGAAAATTTTAGCATATAAAACGGCCTGTATATGTGTGAATATCGTGAAATGAACTGTGGTCGCACATGGACATCGTAAAATGGTGTGTGGACACACGTGAAAAATACATTCCACTTGTGATAACACGTAATCTGTTCACCCAAACTTTTCCTATCTTGTTTTTCGCGCATGATCAGGGGTGGAAGTCGTTAAGTGTGTAGTAGTCACACATGAATTGCTTATGTTAAAATTTCCGTAAGAAAATATCACTTAGCGAAACGCGTGAAAATGTTTCGCGCTAATTTTATTGTGAAAAATATCTTCACATTTATTCACACGTCAGTTTTTCATGCTATCCATTTCATGAATAATATTCACGTTTAACCGCAAGTATGTTTGGATTAGTTTGTAAACTAATCCATCATATATACCTTACCTGTAATTGGTTGCTGTAAGCGTTGTACGTCTCAGTACCTCTGTCCATGAAAGTCGAAACATTGCCAGAATTTCGGAAAGATTTTCGTATTCTAATTTGAATTTATGCTTGTTCTATTTTCTGGGTTCAATAAATATAATGATTTTCCTTGCAGTTTATATTTGTCATACTCTTAGTCTTTTCCGGCTACACTATTTATCCGTTTTTAAATTATGATTAAACGTCATCTCTTAATGCGAGAGGAAGTATTCATTGATTTTCCCACTTAATATTTCCTAAAAAATTCCTAAGATTTTTAACAATCGTAGAATTTTTTTTTAAAAAGATTCTTACGTTTCACACGCGCCCACGTGTAAACATTTTTTTACGTATGAAATATCGTGAAGATTAGCCGGTAAGCATACGTACAAAATTTGTTCTATATTTTCAGAAGTCAAGTTGGCTCAATGACAGTCTCTCAAATTTGTAATTAAAAGTATCTCAATTTAATTCTCATTTTCAGAAAATATACAGAAGACAAAAATTGTGAGATTTAACTAGATTCGAATGAACGCACGCGTGGAAAAAATTAATTGAGGTACACTCACTATAGCAAGTATACTTTACTGGTCTCGATTTTTTTCACGAGTAGCCGGCGCGTTTGATGTTGCAATTGTATGATCTCAACATGCAATAATCGCAAAATTTCGTGAAAGTCCAAGCTGACATTTCATCGTCTCTGACGTGTGAAAAGTCGATAAGATTTCCCCATGAGTACTAGTTGCCAGTTGACTCCATTCATTACATTGGTGTTCGGAAATCAAAAATTCACTTTTGAAAAACGTCATGCTCGAGATCTTTTCAGTGGCGATCACCATTGAAAGAGATTTTAGACATGATTGTCAAATGATCAAACTGCTTCTTTTTAATATAATTTTGTAAAAGAAAATTGTTAGTTCTACGGAATGCATATATTCTAATTGCGAATGAAGAATTTTTAGATCAAAAATTCTAATTTTGAAATGCAAAAAAATAATAGTCATCCAGTGTTAACTTAGAAAAATAATCCCCTATCCTGGAAACTCTGCTAAATGTAAAACGGACTTGTCTCCAATCTTCAATTTTCCTTATATTGTGGGATTTTGACAGATTTGTACTAGAAAACATTTTGTCAGACCAGAACTCAATAATCTAGGAATTATATCCATTTTATTTCTTACAAGTAATCCACATTAGTATCAGTCTATAGACTGATACATATCTCTTTAGAGATCTACCTGGATGCAATTTTTAGATCCGTACTCGACTCTGCGCAAAAATACTAGAAAATCAAGAGAGTCTGATGTATTTCAATTGTTCTGGGAAATATTCATTTCATATGTTCAGAACATAAATGTAAATGTGATACTGAATATTTACGCTATTATCTATTATATTTAATACCGACATTTTTCGACCGATATTACGTGAACATAAACAAAAGATACTTCTCAGAACAATGAATATGTCAATTTCGTACATGTATAATTAGCTTTAGTACGAAGAAGATAATGTCAGGCATACATCGAGGTTTCATTTAATAAATAAATGGTTTTTGCTTAACAATGATCTACACACTATACATACACACCTGATCGGATTTATGTTTTCGCCGAGATTAAAGCAAATTTATGCCATTGGTTTCTTTCGATAAAAGTTTAAAAAAATTCGACCCGTACCCGACTCTCGGGTTGTGTCCGGTTGCCCATCTCTGCTATCAATCTAACAGATCTAGTTACATAATCAATCTAGTAGAATATCTCTAGGGAAATACTATGAAAAAGGGTTTGTAATACCCGTAGTGTTTACAAAAAAAATTTTAAAATATAAAAATTTGATTAAAAATGTACTATGATGTTCGATTCTCAAAGTATAGCAAACTGATTTAAGAGATCAATTTTAACAGTTTATGGAATACAAATTTTCTTTACAGACAGATTAACAAGCCTAGAAATTTAGATCAGTGCGTATTGTATTACCAAGAATTAATCTTGATTATTTCAGATGCAAAAGAAAACAAACCTGAAAGTACGCAATCTCAAAATGATGAACAGCAATTTATTGATACTAGTTCAATAATTATTCATAGTCCCAAACCTGGTTATCGTCGTCGAGATCATCATCATCATCACAGTAGTCATCACGGACATCATCATAATGTTCAAACAACCGAACGCCAGTATTCTAAAGATCGTGATAATAGAGAAAAAAATCGGAATAATAAACATGAAACAGCATCATACGATCCGAAAAAAAGACGGAAAAGGCGTCGTAGTGAAGAAAGAGAAGATCGTAATAAAAAACGATTGGTAAGGCACTTGTTCTGTAATTGACAAAAAATATAGCTCTTTGCATGTAAAATGTTCTTTTAGCGTGGAAAATTTCGTGGTAGTGGTGGTGATGGTGGTTTCATAGATGTTGATAAAGATTTTGAAGATGCTGAAGACGATGAAATGGTGGGCGTTGTTTGGCCGCCAAAATCGAATCGTGGCGGTCAACAACAACGCTTGACCTCTCCTTCACAGAAAAACAACGGTGAACAAACACAAGAACAACATCAGAAAGAATCGAATGTGCATGATGAACAGCAGTCAAGCGACGAACAATCTTCAAATACTCTTATGAATGGTCATGATGAGCATAATGAAGAACAAACTATAAACGATGGAGAAGATGAATATGATGAAGGACGAGCGGATGATGACAATGAAACTGGACAAAATGAAAATCATGATCTAACTGAAGGTGGTCATGATCAACAAGACGGCAATCGAAGCAAAAAACTCATACGAGATGATACAGATATACAAAAATCCAAAATGACATATGTAAGTTTTATTGCAATAAAATTGATTTTCTCTTATATCTTTGTATTTTTCTAGCGTGATCGAGACCGTGATCGTGATAGGAATGAACGTCATAATCGTGGTGGTAACAGAAAACCGAGAATGAATGATTTTTTAAAGGATAATTCAAAAAGTGGTATTGAAAATAGAGGAAGGCGTTATTATGAAAATCGCCGTGATCGACCTTGGGGACAAGATCGAGATAGAAACACTTCTACGAATAATAATAATACTAATTCAAATGGTACGGCAATAAATGTTGGTAGTAACAACACAAGCGGAAATGCAGGTGGGAATCCGAGATATCGAAATAAAACATCCGTATCAACATCAGTTTGTAAATTTTATATGGAAAATCGTTGTATGAAAGTATGTCATCATTCTTTGTAGGGAAAAACTAAACTTTTTTTTGTTCTAGGGCTCCGAATGTTTATTTAGTCACGATTACAAACCATCCAAAAAAACGGAGTTATGCAAATATTATGTTCAAAGCTATTGTCAAAAAAATGATATGTGTCCATTTCTTCACTCAGAATTTCCATGCAAATTTTATCATACTGGTACAAAAGAATGTACACAAGGCGATCGATGTAAATTTTCTCATGGCATAATTGTCAATNAAAAACTAAACTTTTTTTTGTTCTAGGGCTCCGAATGTTTATTTAGTCACGATTACAAACCATCCAAAAAAACGGAGTTATGCAAATATTATGTTCAAAGCTATTGTCAAAAAAATGATATGTGTCCATTTCTTCACTCAGAATTTCCATGCAAATTTTATCATACTGGTACAAAAGAATGTACACAAGGCGATCGATGTAAATTTTCTCATGGCATAATTGTCAATGAAGATATACGTTTTGCATTTGAAAAAGTAGATTTATTATTTTTATTCATGTTTTTATGGTAAACGTTTTCATCTTATTATTTCTTTTAGTATTTGAATGAGCAAGATGAACAAATGGCAAATAGTGGTAAACAACGTCCAAGTGCATTCGACTCATCATCTATACAAATGACTAATTCATCGAAAGATCAAATAATGAACGCTGAAAAACCGTCAATATCACAGTTTGCCATACCAGCATTAATGGAATTATTTGTAAAAGAACCCCCAAATGGTAATTCTACGTCTGTCACAGATACGGTACAAAATTCTTCCTCAGCTCAACAACAAAACAGCACCAGTCAAGTACAAACAAACAGTTTATTACAGCAGAGGTATTTTTAAGAGCAATTTTCAAGCTACTATCTAGAATTTGACTAGAAATCTAATTTTTTTCTGTAGAACTGGACTTTTCAATGATACATTGAATACAATTAAAGAACAGGACGACTCATCGACTAACAATACAGCAATAACTACAACAAGTACATCAAATGATGGAACACGGCTGAATCAATTATCAACGGTAACAACAACAGCAAATTCAAATGCCTGTCCATTGCCACTGCCACCTCAGTTGTTAACGATGCCTTCTGGTCTTCCTCCGCCACATTTACTTAATCCAATGCCATTAGCGTTTTCTCGATTACCTCGATCATCTATTAATAATAACAATTTGCCACCCATACCTCCTGGCTTATTTTCACCTGGTGCTCGAGTACCATTTTTATTTCCTGGCTCATCTCGAATGTCAATTACACCACCGAATTTAGATTTTCTTAATACAGCCGCGGCAGCGGCCGCTGCTGCATACACGGCCGTAGCTGCCAATACAAAATTCAATTCAAACTCTTCTATGTCAGTCACATCTGGACAAACATCATCTTCATTTTCAACAAGCCCCCAACTAGCTAAAGATATCGATGAACGGATATCGAGCCATTCAACAATAAAAGATATTGATGAACGCGGAAGCAGTTCAACAACCACTTCTTCAACACTATTACCACAATTATCCTCCTCAACGACTCTTTTACCTACAATATTACCGCCTCCACCATTGCCTCTTGGACTCTTATCTCTACCATCAAATACGTCTACAACAATAAGTACACCAGTAGATTCTTCTTCTACAATTGATGATAAAGAGGAAGAACCTCCAGTAAAATCACTTCAAGAAATATTTAAGACACCCAGTTCTTTAATGGTAACTATATTTTAGAAATACATGTAATTTATAGAAAAATATGTTTCTGTCATATTTTAGGTTGATAATTTATTCAGCGTGCAGGGAACAGCTACAACAGCTGCACCGTCATTTGATTTCATTTCAATGCTACAAAAGTTAAAACAGAATCATCTTAATTCAAAGTGAGTATAGGGACTATAACACCATTCTTATGGTCTTAATTGCTTTCGACTTTCAGTGATTCAATTAGTCCATCTGGTAACCAAGATTCAGTTGAGATTCACGGAACGATTAATGGTCGTTTCAATTATGTAGTGCGACCAATTATCATCAATTTACAACCGTATGCATTGCCAGAACCATTAAAAGTTAATGATCCACGTGGTCCAAGATATCAAGAAAAAATTGTACAATGGCAACGTGACAATCACGAAAGAATACGTATGGATAAATTTAAAACATATTCTCTTATGCAGCAACAAACATCAACTTCTATGACGACAAATAATGTATCGACTGCTAGTCATGTGAATACGAATCCGATCGCATCAAACTCTAATAATATGCACTCACGTGATCCCCGTCTTCTACGAAATGCACCAAAATCAAATAATATTAAAGAAAAATCTCATTCACAACAATTTTCACCGCAATCGTATCAACCACCATATCAACATCATGGGAATGCTCATTTCTTACCATTACTTCCTCCATATCCACTATCTTCCACTTCTCATACCGGTTCTTCTGATCAACGTCGGCAAACGAATGACGACACTTAGCATTTTTCAATTTTTTGTTCTTTTTGTAGATCTATAGCTGTATGCGTGTGTGTTTTGTTGTGCTGTTCTTATTCCTCATTTGTGACACTATACAACGATGAGATATATACATATATTTAACCAAAGTTTGAACCTTTCGCTCCTTTCTTGAAAACACGTTTTTAATTTCATTCATCTATTTCTCTCTTGTCAACAGGTTGTATGTGTCTGTAACTATTTTTGTATGTTTATTTTTCAGTTTTTAATCTTATGTAAAAGTAAACGTGATACTCATTTTATTATAACATACAGAGAGTATGGGAGATTACATGTATAAATTGGTACGTGTACAAGAATATAATTTCAGAAAAAAGCATTTAAAACAAAATGTTCAANTTGAAAACACGTTTTTAATTTCATTCATCTATTTCTCTCTTGTCAACAGGTTGTATGTGTCTGTAACTATTTTTGTATGTTTATTTTTCAGTTTTTAATCTTATGTAAAAGTAAACGTGATACTCATTTTATTATAACATACAGAGAGTATGGGAGATTACATGTATAAATTGGTACGTGTACAAGAATATAATTTCAGAAAAAAGCATTTAAAACAAAATGTTCAAGAAAATCTCCTGAGATGTTAATACTTTTCTAGAATTGACATTGTCACATCTCATTTCTCTCTTCATCAAAAACTTTCTTAAAAACTGATGAAAATTTTATCATCACTTATGGTGAGCTACTTTTATCCTTTTAAGAGATATCTTCACTTATGCTCTATTGAAAATGAGATTTCAGGCACCATGTTCCATCCGAGCGATCATAAAATAAGTCTGTTTTCATGCTTCAATATTTACAAAGTATTTATTTGTATTATTTCAAAAGACCATTTTTTTTTCTGACAGATCATTCACAAAAATATTCTAATCGAACAATTTTATATAAAAATAGAAGTATGTATATATATACGAAAAAATATAGAGAATTCAGTCTAGATTTGAATCACCCAATGTAACAATTCGAATAGCTTGTGCTGTAACAACGATGAAATTATCTTCTTCAAGATCACGTAATGCATCATCAAACATTTCTCGACTTATACGCTATAAGAGACAAATAAAACAAATAGTATTTGGTTAAGATTTTTCTTCGCGTATTTTTACCTCATCGGAGCGTTCACGCATTTCATTGAATAATGCTTCTTTTTTAATTGTTGTCACATTTGTTTTACGTTCTTTAATAAATTTTTTAAGAGATAATGCAAGATCAGCTCGTCGTCTGCGTTCGCCAGCACTTATGCCTGTGGTAAGAATAGCTACGTCAACACGACCAGTTTTGGGATCAACAGCTGATTGTTTTAAGGCTTCACGATACAATCTAAAGTAGAAACACACTCATATTTAAATATATTTTCAATACATGAAGTAATTACCAACCGTTTTGCTTCTTCAACGTCCAATTCTTCAACTTTATCGGATAAACGAATTTTTGCATGTGCTTCAGACAAACGTATTAAGGATTCCAATTGTCTTGGATATGCTGACACTTGTCCTTTTCCACTTCCAACTTTTCTCATTTCAACATATGAACTTACCAATAGTTTACCACTAGCTTCAGTTAATTGAGGACCAACAAATGTACGTGCATAAGCAATATAATCGCGAAGTAAATCAGCATCCTAGAAAAAGAAAAATCAATTGCGATTATTTACACATGTAAATATTTGTTTGTGTACCATTGCTTCTTGAACCGTTTCACCTTCTTTTCCATATTGATACCATGATGCTAAATGCTGTGCTAATCGTCTATCATAAGCTTCATCTTGTGGATCAAGTAAAAGAAATATTAAATCAAAACGTGATAGGAGTGTTGGTGGTAGTTGAATATTTTCAATTATTGTCTTTTGTTTATTCCATTGTGATTCAATGGGATTTGCAGCAGCCAATATTGATGTTCGAGCATTTAGTGTACAAATAATTCCAGCTTTAGCAATTGATAATGTTTGTTGTTCCTTGAAAATCAATACACATATGAAACAATTATTATACAAAAAGAATTAAAAATACGAACCATCACTTCATGAAGAATTGACCGTGCACTTTCACTCATTTTATCAAATTCATCAATACAACAAACACCATTATCTGCCAAAACTAATGCACCACTAGAAAAAATAAAAAACAAGTGTTTTATTCCAAAATGTCTATGACAGTATCAAACTTCGTTAATTATTTCTCTCCTTATTTAAAAATCTGTATTATTAATTATTACATTATTATCTCGGTAAAAAAGCATGTCCAAGTGATGAACTTACGTTTGTAATACTAGTTGATGAGTCTCTGGATCTTTGGTGACATACGCCGTTAAACCTACGGCACTTGTTCCTTTACCATTAGTGTATTGTGCACGTGGTACAAGTCGATAAATATATTGTTGTAATTGTGATTTCGACGTACCAGGATCACCACACAGCAAAATGTTTATTTGTGAACTAAAACAATATATTTTTTTAAAAGAAAATAATACAACAGTAACCAAATACCAACCGAAATGTTTTTCGACCAACTGTTGAAAAATCTTTTTTTGTACCACCGAATAACTGTAACAAAATACCTTTTTTAACATCGTCATGACCAAATATACTTGGAGCTAAAAGATACAGACGATATAATGTGTTGATAAACTAAAACTAAAATCTTACCAATAGCATTCGATAATAGTTGGTAAATATCACTTCGTTGTGAGAGATTACGAAATTGAGCAAGACGTTCTTTGGAAAATTTCGAAGAACTACATAATAACAAAAAATGATTTAACTTTACTATCTTAAGAGCATCACAGCTATTTTACGTTGCTTCTTCATCTTCATTTCTTTGACCACTGTCATCATCGGATGTGAATGCTTTTTGTCGACGAAAATGGATAACATCAATGTATGTACGATAAACTGAACGAACATTACGTGCTTTTGGATTGAGACGTACGGGCACAGCGCGAAAAATACCAGTTACATGGACACTAGGAGTCAAAATAAATTTAAAACGATCATAAAACTAATTCTACACTTACCGATCACCTGGTTGCACAGCATCAACAAGATCATTGTGTGATACGACAGTGACCGTTACGGGTGTTTGTCCAGCCGGCATTTCTTCTGTAAAAAAAACAAAGAATGAAGCAGTTTGAACATTCTTATCAGTCAGTTTTGTTACCTGGTGTTTCTTGTAGTTTAATAAATTGTTTATCAGCAAACAATGATCGGTTATGAATGAGCTCAAATGAATGGGCCGTATTGCATGCAGTACAAACCGTTGGTTCAGCGATACGTCCACGATCAATTTCTACTTGTACATGAAATTCACATGTATTACATTGAAAGTAAGCAGCACGCATTTCAGGCAGAATCAACGATGAACGAATAATCATGCCCGATAATGTAACTAGTTTATCAATATCTTCGGGATCAAGGCAACGCATATTTCGATACGTATCGACGTTATATGGTCGAACTTGTATTTGATGAGGTAATGTATCATCTTCATAGATTGTGAAATATAGTTCATTCACGGCTATATCAAATATTGGTATGACTTCTTGTGGATATGAGGTGAGTTGTTGATACATCGTTGAATCGAGTTCTTTCATATGAGAACAATCAATATTTAGAAATGGTCGCTCAAGTAAATGAATCTAAATAGGAAAAATGCCATGCATAATGGGTACAAGAATTTAAGAAAGATTCTAACCTCTTCCAATTTCTGCATATAATAAGGTTTATTTGGATCAACACCTTCCAAGCGAGCATCTTCAACAGACAAATGAAATTTCTTTAAAAATAATACCAAACGACGTTTGCATTCGTTAACATGGACATCTGTCCCCCATATAACAACTTGATTATCAGCAGTATTTGTTGCTGTCGCTGCACCATCAATCGCGTCCTTCATCAGAAAACAGAATTAGTTCTTTATGATTTAATGAAGTTTTTTGTACAATTACCAGTTCATCATTTTCATTGACTAAACGTAGTTTTCGCACGCTTCCTAAATCTGATCGTGGACGAGATGGTGTCGACATTGGTGTCCGACCACCACCCGCTTGAGCCGGTGACGTAAAAAAAGTCATAGGAGAAAATGTGGATCCTAAAAAAAGATTAGTAAATAGATTGATTACAGTTTAACGTTTTTTTTTAAATACATACCCGACTGAATCATCATTTTTGCGGGTGTTGTTCTTGTTGACATTGGTGTAACAGGCATCTGTACAAGGCTTCCAGTAGGACTGGGAGCAGCTCCCTCATCCTCTTGTAATGCTGTTAATGGATTACGTCGTTTAGCAGCTGTAAAATAAAAGATATACAGGATAAAGAAATGATACAATTTCGTCCATATACGTACGAGTCCGTTGTGATGAAGACGGAGTCTGTTTTGCTGGTGTACGCCTTTTTGATGGTGTCGTTACACTTTTTGACGGAGTAGACATCTAAAACAAAGTATATCAAGTGTACTTTACTGTAGAATTACTATCATTATTGTTTTTCTCCGGTTAAGAAAAATGACACAGGAAAGGGCTGATAACTGAAAAATTTATTTATTGCATAAATGCACATTGATAAAGAAGACAAATTTTATTTACAGTTCGTCAATAATATAATCAAGATTTATTTTAATCGTATTTAATTGTTTATTTATTTTATCCACGCTGTTCTGAAATTTTTCCAATATTTTCTGTAAATTTGATGTTGTTTTCGTTAGTGTTTCTACTGCTGTTGTTGATGATAATGACGATGTTGATCTGAATGATTTATCCACTAGTAAAACAAGTTGTTTCAACATTAATAAAAATTGATCGTGCAAACGATAATCTACCGATATATAATTGGCGTCTTGTTGTTGCTTTGTGGCTTGACCACTGTACGTACGACACAAATGTAATAAATTGTGCATCAAATTCCTAGTTGTGTCAAATTCTTTTAATGTCGTTTGACTGTAATGAATGAATTGTTCAATTAGTGTTTGTAATTCATTCATTATTGTGTAACATGGTATCAAATCGATTTGTGGTTGGTTCATAGTTAATTCAATAAACATATGGCCAATTGTTTTTATATGTTTGTTGATTATTTGAGTTATATCGAGTAATGGATGGTCATTTTGATGAGTAACGATGGAATACGATAATGCCAATTTTGTGGATGGTTGAATGAGCGTTATATCTTCCGTCATCTGAGTATCGCATAATAGCTGACCATTAATATTGTCAGATGAATGAGATTTGGCAACATTTGATGGTATTGAACTTAATTCTAATCTTCTACTGTCGATTGTGTCTTGCATTTGTAAATGAGAAGTCGAAGAATTGATAAATGGACATGACGATAAAAAAAAAGAGTGAGCCTGATACATTATGAGGAAAATGGATTAGAGTCTAAAACGTAAACAGAACCAATTGATAATTTTATACCATAGTACCTGGTCAACGATTACTCGCATTTTAACTTTTTTTGTTGAAAAAAGAAAAGTGCTAACTCCAAGTTGATCCAAGAGTCTCTTTGTGCTCCAAGATCTCTTTGTACAGCAGATTTCACTTTTTTCCATTCGGTGATTTCTGTAATAACAGCACTTATCGTAACGAGTTTTTTTTCTCTTTATTTCTCGTTCGCCACTATTCCTAGATGCAGCGCACAAAATCAATCGGTCGATCATTATAAAATTTGCAGAAGACATATTGGGCACAATGCGTTATTGTTCTCTAAAAACAAAGACAAGTTTGACATGGAATGTTATGCAGAAAATAGATGGAACAACGATGTTTTCTCTTCATGATTGAAGTACTTGTTATTTTATGCATTTTTATGTGAGATAGTACCATAGATGTCAATGATGCTTACACAAAAAACAAACTGGTCAGGAAGATGTCGCATCTATACTTAAATTTACGCGCTAATCCAATGGATGGACAGAGGCGGCAGAACGTTCCCAAACGGGGCAAGGCTCACGGAAAGGCAGCAGCAAATCTAGAAAGTTTTTCGAGAAGGTGCAATTTTTCGTAAAAGTTTTCGCAGCAAGAGCAGGCTACTAGCTCAATTCGCTGAAATAAAATGTCACCTCGGCTCCATGAATCCAAGCTGTTTTCACTCAGACTCCTAAAAAGTGACGTTCCCAGCAAAAAGGCCAAACAAGGGAAAAATTTGCGCTAGACTAATCAAAGCAAAGCATATTTGTTTGAAAAACGTGGCATATCTATACAATTAAAGACTACTTCGCTATTTTGAACAAAAGACAATTTTCATTTCGAGGTTTCTTGGCGTTCCTGATGCCAAAAGTTAGCATTTTATCCCGATCCAGGGGCCTGTTTCTCAAAAACACTGAAGTAAAATTTCCTGTTTACTTAAGTGAAATTATTCACTTAAGAGCCATTTCATATAAGCCACGACCGACACTGCTCAATCGTACCTCACAGAAGTTGTTGAAACCACTCATAAAAGAAAATATAGACATTTCTTCCATAGAGAATTCTTTTTTATTGGTTTTTGCGTACAGAATCAGAATCAGTTTGTGTGCAACTCAGTCGAAATCTAGTTGCGAATGTCAGGNAAACCAATAAAGAAGAATTCTCTTAGTTCCGAAGGTTTCTAGGAAACGTTTCTAGAAAGCAAAGTATTTTCTGTTGGTTTTTTCAATGTTTATTGAGTTTTACTGAGAATTTATTGAACTGCAGATAAAACAGAGTGTTTCCTGACATTCGGAAGTATATTGGATGGATTTTGACTGAATTATGCACTTTTTAATTGTTAATGAAAATAATCGAAATCTAATGATTTCTATGTGATACCTACTGTCGGTGGCACTAGAGGCTTTCAGTGAGCTTAACGTTGCCCACCGAAATTTTTTCATCTCTTCATAGATCAAGGTTGGAACTACTTATGCACCAAATATTTCCAAAATTCGTCTTCTAATTCCAAATTCGTTCTTCAAAATTCGTTAGGAATAGGAGAAAATCGATTTTGAAAACTGGCATTTTCAGCCAAAGTCGCTACTTTCGATGCAGTTTTTATTTGAGCAAAAGCGAATTAGAAGCTCACACGTTCAGGTGTTGTAGTATTCAAAGTCCTTTATCTAATGGTGTTTTCAAAATTTTATGAAAATGTTTCGTTTCGATACAGTATGGCGCCAAAATAGACAAAATATGAGTTTAGGACGTACCGGATACAAGTCACT